TATATATATATATATATATATATATATATATATATATATATATATATATATATATATAAATAAATATATAATCGTTGTTATTAGGTGCAACAGCTAGAATCAAAGCAAACTCTATCAACAATTCCAGAATGCTATGTGATTCCACCTACACCAGAATAATGAGTGTTTTGGTAATAAACATTAAAGTAAATTAATGGATTTGCAGTAAAGATTATATATTTTTATCAAGACAAATGTACACATTTTATTCATGTTTTCTCAGCCGAATATATATCTATATTAAGTGAAACATTCAATCTTTATCCAATGCTTGTATTGTGTATTATAATAGTTTTATAAGCGTATATATAATCGTAATCATTTTTGTACACACAGGCGCATAATGTTCATTTGTATACGGAAGAAGTTGCTGTTACCTTAAGACACTTTGTATATGTATTTGACATATGTGTCATTTGACAAAACAAGATGAAATTTCATTATGTCTTGCGTAGTAAAACAATTGTTGATATTAACTAAATTATATCATTCTTACGTCGTAATTTGAAAATATGAAATGCACATAGAAAGAAATGTTAACGACTTATGAGATGTATGAGACTCATTATTGTAAGAATTCTGTCTAGCTGAAAACATCAATAATGTTTCTTATATTCTAAACGCATATGGAATAAAATATTTTTATTTAAATTATATCGCAGTAATGTACACAGTAATATATTTCGAAGAAATACTTTCGAAGAAATACTTTCGAAGAAATTACAAGATACTCTTTTAAACAAGGAAGTATTTTAAAATTATAAATATTTGTGTAATGTGTGGACATACGCACAGTCATAAATTAAATATTTTTTAAAAACTTTTTTTTCCTTATCAAAAAATTAAATATTAAATATAAATAAATATTTTTAAAACGGAATGTATTAAGATCGATATTTTTATCTGTTTGCTCAATGTCGCATGAAGCCCATTTGAAATATGTTGATTGTACATTTTTTACATATACAATAACATCATTTACGTTAATATCTTAAATATCGGGGTTATCTCAAGTATATTTTGTATATATTTTGAATTGCATCATTTTTAATATCTAAACGAACTGTAATTGGCGCGGCCGTGAGCGTCGCGCGCATCGATACATCGAAATTTACAACCACCGCAGACGTCATTTCCGATGATCAGTTATACGGGACGATTGCGAGAGGAAGTGGTGTTCGAAATTTCGCCTTGCGTTTCGCGCGATTGCAGCTAATGCAAAGATTGATCTCGAGTGCCAATTATCTTTGCTGGGAGTGCCGAATGTAAGGTACGTGCGTTTGTTGTAGCGAAGCGGCATAAAACAATCGTGGCGAGTGAATATTTCGCAAAATAGCATGTTGGGCAGTGTCAAGCAGTGTCGCGCGATAAGCCATTATAGAAGTTAAAAGTTCGACTTGTACACACAACTCTTCATATTGTGTACTGTCTGCAAAGAGAGTTCCGCGCGTGAAATATCGTTGCGAGTGCCGAAAATAAGCTTCATCTACAGATATCGTTAAAAGTCGTCAGAACAGTATCTCACGGAATGACCGGCCGCGAGTACCGAGTGAAGTACCGCGCATATTCCCAGTAAGCAAGGAACATTAAATTAACGTTCAGAAACGTTGACTTCATGTGCGTTATTTGGGCATTTTTTAATAATATTGCATTTATATTTTTCACATGTTATTTTGCGATATGATTTTTCTAAATGTTGTTTAAACGTTTTAAAAACATTACAAAAAATATATTTTTCAAATGTTACTTTAACATTTATTTGAAGTCAATGCAACATCTTAAAAATATTTCTGACAATTAAAACGTTATAGCAACCCTATTTCAATATTATTGAAACTTCCAAATCGCGGTCAAAGTATGTTCATAATGATGGTCGATACAATAATAAACACTACATATTTGACAATATTACAGGTTCTTGAATATCATTGTAGTAACGTCCCAGACGGCACAAATGTCCAAAATCGAGTCATAAGACGTCTTTAAGGCAACTTTAAGACATCTTTAAGACAATACTTTATAAACTTGTCTTAAAGACAACTTAAAGACGTCTTAAAGACGTCTTATGTCCCACTTTTAGACATTGTGCTGTTTGAGGTTATATTAATGATTTCTTGCTTACTGGGTTCATACTTCGAGAATCGGAATCATTCCGTTATAGCCAGTTAGAAGATAACTCGCACGGAGAGGTGATATAAATTCCAAAGTTCCCAGTGAGAAATGACTTACCGATCGACGTCGAAATCGTCAAATCGACGTCGATTCGACGTCTTTTCGACGTCTATCGGTAAGTCATTTCTTACTGGGTTTGTTCGCGTTTTCGGTCAAAAGTATCGTGTTGGAAGTACCAAATGTGAATCTCGCGCGTTCGTTGTAGTGAGTGTTGTTAAACTATCGCGAAAAGCGTTGAGAGTGTTGGTCGAGAACCCCAAGCAAAGTGTTGAGCATTCGTCCGTGTGAGAATCATCGACGGGAACGTTAACGAAACGTAACCTCCTCCGTCGCGTTGTAGCAACGGGAATTCAAATCGCAACTTCACCGTCGTGATAAGAAAATATCGGTAAGTCCCCACGTATTAATACAGCTAGGCCGCGACAGATGGCGCCTCTGCCTCTTCTACATGCAAAACGTTCTTAGTCATAAAGCCCCATATTTTGAATCCTCTTTTATCGATAAAAGTGCGTTAAATGTAGCTTCTAAGCCAATCAGGTGGCTCCTAAGCCTCTTTTAGAGACACTTTTATAGATAAAAAAGGATTCAGAATATGGATCAAAGTCTGCTCTACAATGTGCTCTTCGCTTACTGTTTCTTGTTCTTTATCTCTTTCTAGTTAAAGGCTTAATCTACAATGTGTTCTTTGCTTCCTGTTTCTTGTTCTATGTCTTTTTTCAGTTTAAAGCCTGATCTACAATATGCTCTTTGCTTGCTGCTTCTTTCTCTTTATCTCTTTCTGACTCAAATCTTAAGCTTTAAACCAGAAAAAGACAGAAGACAAGAAACAGAACGCAAAGAACATATTGTAGATCAGGCTTAAAGTTTGATCTACAATGTGTTCTTTGCTTTCTGCTTCTTTCTCTTTATCTCTTCCTGATTTAAATCTTAAGCTTTAAGCCAGAAAAAGACAGAAGACAAGAAACAGAACGCAAAGAACATATTGTAGATCAGGCTTAAAGTTTGATCTACAATGTGTTCTTTGCTTTCTGCTTCTTTCTCTTTATCTCTTCCTGATTTAAATCTTAAGCTTTAAGCCAGAAAAAGACAGAAGAGAAAAACAGAACGCAAAGAGCATATTGTAGATCAGACTTTAAGGTTTAAGTCAGAAAAAGAAAGAAACAGGAAGCAAAGAACACATCGTAAATCTGGATTAAAAATAAGCGATAGATTCATACAATTTTTCATTAATTATAGAGCTAGGAAATCCCAAATCAAATGCTCATTCAATCCTTCATATCACCCGGAATGAATATAAATGAGAGTGCAAAGTATTTTGTGTCTTAGAATAGCTCCCATACAGCACAAAAGTTGGAAAAAGATTTCAGAAAGATTTCAGGAAGATCTCAAAAAGGTTCAATGTTTCTGAAACCTTTCTGAAAGCTTTTTGAAACTTCTGTACTATATGGGCTATAGCTGTATAGCTAAAGTTAAAGCTTCAGTCGTTTAGAATAGGTTAAGACGAAAAATTCATTGTATGCGAGAACATAGATGCTCTGTTAATATATATGTCAATTAGGCAATATATTCTAACAGCATGTATTTTTTCAAATAAAATAAGAAGATATTCATTTTTTTATTCATTAATTTAAATCAAAGATAGCGCGACCGTTCTGTTCAGTGTATAATAAACGGAGCATTAATATCTGACTAAAAGTCGAAGTAAAAACGATGCATAAAATGTAGAAAGTACTGTTGTATTCTACAGGTTTGGGATAAACATCAGAATTTTCTCGTGCGTATTAATAATTGATATTCGTATATAACTACGATAAAATTTAAATTTTATTTAACTAGGGTTACTTTTAGGCACTCGCGAAATATTATTTAAAAAAACGTCGGCTTCACAGAGGGAAACAATCGGTAAATGTCAATAGTTTTCAATTGTGCCTGAACCAGCTGGACATCGATAATTACGAAACTTTATTCGGAGTCGATAGTTTTTGATATTATCTTGTCGGGATTAACCTCTTCAGAAATAAACTATTAAAGTCAGTAGAAACTGACTTATTTTTGAAGTAAGATATAAATATGACATCCGTTAATCATATAATGGTATTTCTCTTTTCCTTCTTGTGATAAATATTTGAAGTTTGCAGTAAATATTTATTCACAGTACTGTTCGTTACTCGAACTTTTCGTCGAGAACGTTTTACTGAATCCAAATAAAAAATTCCCGGACACGTATCTAATGCCTTCTAGATATTCTTATCGTCTTGGTCTTTAAATATATTTATACTTTCAACATAAAATATATATAAATATATTAAATATACATATGTACATACATTCTATAGCGAAAGTTTATATAAATTTAGAGACCGAAACAATAAGAATGTCTAGGATTAAATACATTTCCGAGAATTGATACTTTTATTTTAATTAGTACTTTTATTTTAATATATAATGCTGAATCAATAAGAAGAAATTGAGCGTATTTAAACGTACACATATGTGTGTATCTCTGAAAAGGTTAAATATGCTTTCACAATTCTGTCGAGAATTTCAGATCGTCTAAAATGGACTTAACGAAGTAATAATAATTTACCACGTAGATTAGAATAGATGCGTAAATTTAGTTTCGTTGACGAAAGTAGTTAATTAATTTTTCGAATGACTAGATTCAACTTCCTGGATACCATATCGTATCCATAATCTTATCGCATCGTAGCGAATTGTAATATCACATCATAATCACATATATAGTGATTGATTTATAGTGATCATCATCGCTAATGCAATATCAAGAACTTAAGATTAGTCGCTCGACTTTATCTTTGTACACTTCTTCCATTTGTCGTCGCGAGTAACTTCGATGGCTCGCGCGACGTGGAAGAGTTGGAAGAGTTAGCTCTAAAATTATCGAGGCATTTCTTTCACGTCTTTTGAATTACGCTTACGCGTCATAGCTACGCCTCTGCAAAACTGCTACCTTTCACAACTTTCGTGAGACGCTACGACGAAAATTGCAAGTCTACCCACACACACGCGCGCGCACACATTATTAACATACATATTACGTTAAGCGTTCTAGCTCGTAGCGAAAACAATTCACGTCGAGAGACTCGCGCCTCTCCTACGAAGATACAAGTGCGAGAAAGTCGAAGAGAACCTGCGATCGATCCTGATGATTAATAGTCGTTCTCGGGCTCTTGAAGGAACAGGCGAATCGAGTCCTCATCTTCGCAATCCGGAATCAGTTTGCCTTTATATTTCACGCAAAAATCCGCGCATTTCTGAACTTTAAAATACATCCCGTACATGTCCTTGCACTGTGCACAATTTCTTATGCAAACACCTGTATAGGACCAATTTGCATGGTAATATGGTAAAAAACACGATTGGTTGTTTTTAAAACTTGTGACTTGCAATCGTACACGCAGAGAATTTTTCTCGAAGATATAAATTCATTAACCAGAGAAGATCATAGTGGTTTTGCTCGG